TCTATTTACAAAGTAGTTTGATCCTTCAATTTTAAAATGTCATTATTTTATATCTAAACAAAATTATATAATGTGAAAGGATTGGTTCTTTTAACACATTAGAACACGTGTAAAACAAAAAAGTTCATGGAGGCAAGTTGAAAAGCACCATAAAGAAGAAAATAAAAAGTAGGTTAAGTGTCTCAGAATTTGTCTCCGAAAGATTTTGAATTTTGATTTTGGTTTTGTTTTACTTATAGCCAAAAAAAAATATGATAACATAAATTGAATAGATATATTCTTATGTTATTATAATAAATTATATATGTTTATTTAAGAAGCCTATATATTTTATTGTTATCTTTTAATTTCTGAAAGTGTATTTTACAATAACCAAAAAAATAGAAAATATAAAACGGCTAAATTTCATATATCATGTAAACTTAGATCAAGTTTTTCTTGTCCCTATGTCTCAACGATTTAGTAATTTATGTCATATTTGACTAATTTAATTTCTATTAACAAAATATCCTTTTGAAAATTAAAATAAATTATTGAGTTTTTTCATATTTAATTAATTAATAATATAATGTTAATCAGGAACTGTGGTACAAATTAATTATTTAAACTATTTTTTATTGAAACATACATAAACCAATAGATATATAGAAAATATAGGTGATTCAATTCAATTTTTTTTTCTTTTAAAGATATAAATATAATCATTACTCATTATCTTTCAAAGTAGTAAAACATTTCTCACATTTTTTATTACAACTTTTTTTTTATCTTCTATGATTCACTCATCGTCTCCCAACATCTATTCTCTTTTTACCTTATATTGGCTTATATATAATATACTCGAATATAAATTAGTCTTCAAGATAGTTTATATCTATTTTCTCCTTCATATCTTTCAATTCTCAATCTTTTTTATATGTTGCATTATCTTTTTATTAAAGTGAACATTAGATCATAAGGTTTCTTTGACCATGTTTTGGTGCATGTAAATTGATTTTAAATATACGAAATGTTGGAGTAATTATTTAAAATGTAGGCAAGTTAAATATCATTAAAAGATAATTTATACAATGTATACTCGGAGTGTGAATCCGCAAATCTCAGCGACAAAAAATTGTGAATCCGCAAATTTCCCGCCAAAAACCTAAACTTGTAACTTTTTTGCTAAAAATGTAAATCCGTGATTTTTCCACCAAATGATGATGAATATTGTTGTTTTTATATTGATTATTAATTAATTTATTATTTTAATGGGTCAACTGTAAACTCATTAGATAATGAGTTGAGTTAGGGGCTAGGTTACCCATTTTGACACCCCTATATACGCATTAATCTGTTTATTAATAACATGATGTTAAATATTTATTTTAAAGTGCAAAAATAAAACAATATAAGACAATATGGCACATATTGCTAAAAACAAATATATTAGAACATCTTATATATGTTAATTTCAACTTTAAAAAGATAGTAAAATATGTTTTTATATATATAATCTCGTAGTAATTATTGAAACTGCTAAAACTATTAAATATATATTTTCTGCAATTTATACCACATTAATAAATAAAAAATTCATAATAACTTATCTTAAAGAAAGAAGAAATAAAATTTGGCACATGTGTAGACTATGTTTTCATAGTAATTTATTTTATATATGTGTAGCATGTAGGATATCTTTTTAGAAAAATTTATATGAGATTCGGAATTCTAATAAGTGATTATGAAAAACTGAGTAGCTATTTAAATAGCTCACAATTCATAATCATATATAAATATATGAAAATAGAGGGTGTTATTGTGTTAATCTTATTGTGTAAATTAGTATTTAAATGTAACATTAGAAAATGCATAAATTATCAATTATAATTATGGGAGTTACATGCATTGAATGGAGAACATATATCATACAATTTATATTATTTAGGTTACAATTTAGTATTAAAGGGTGGATTAATGTATATGATTAAATGGGTTATATTTGTTGTTTGATTAGGGATAAATAAAGCCAATTTTATTAAATAGCATAAGAATTACAGTTATATTTTAAGGAATTAAATATGATAATATACAATTAGAATTTAATGATAGTTTTGTAAAAATATAATTTTAATACTATTAATATTTATGTTTGAAAAAAAAACATTTATGTTTGAAAAACTATATGCCATGTCGTTCTCTCTTGAACGATCTCCAAACCAATTGTTGGGTTGGGTTGTTCGTGAATAGACTCAAGAATTTGAACCACCCATCTATACAATAATTGTCACACTGTAAAAAAAATAAAACTATATTATTTTTAACTATACTTCATATCCATTGTCAAACTATCTATTTTTGAATTAGACTCTTTTCATTCCCATTTTTTTTTGTGCAATAAATTTTTCATTAATAACTATAAACGAAAGATAGATAATCAAATTTTTGTGCGTTGGAAACAATATAAAAATAAACAAACACAAATTAAACCTGGAAAGAATGACATCTTACCTCGAATATTTTAACTGACTTTAAGATAGTCACCACCTTAACATATGACTTTCGAAAATATTAAAAAATATCCAGATCTACAAACATAACATAAGAAAGAACTGACAAAAAAAAAAGAATACGCAAAAAGAAGAAAAGAAGATTAGAAACTATTAAGTGAATAGAAAAATGTTACAAAATTTGTGGGGCTTGAAATATGATGGTTAGTATTGAACATGTCGTACTATTTATAAAAAAATTATATTGTCAAAACAATAATAAATTGCTTTTAATATTATATATGTGAATAAAATTAATTGTAGTTTTAGCATCATGAGCTACGTTACATTTGTAGAATTAAATGTGTTATACAGTAATAGCATTTACCTTTGTATGTAGTCTACCTACATGCTAACGACAATGAAAGGTATTTGATTGAATATTAACTGTAGTTTTCAATTAGACATAAAATTAAGTATCAGACGTTACAGCTTTGTCATTTTTGGGCTAACTTTTTTTTTGGTGTAATTTAAAGTGAGTTGTGTATTCTTTCTGAGTGATATATCAAAAATAATCTAAGGACACTTAATAATCTTTCTTAGCAGTTACATGTGTATTAATGTCATGGGAGTTTTTTCTGTGTGTTTTTGCCTTTTTGGTCAAATATGATGGGAGTTATGGTTACATTTTAAGGAATTAATATGCCAATAATTGGAATTAATGTTTAAACAAAACACATTTTCTTTCATGCATTTAAATAAACATATATAATTGATTATGTGATTAACATTATTTTATTTGGTATATTTTGAATAATTTCTTGTTTATGAGATTTCAATTCTTGAATTAGTTTTTTTCTTACACATGTTCTTTAAATTTTGAATATCTTATGCAGTATAAACTAATTCTAAAATAGATTAGCTGTTGTAGTAATTATTTTTTAGACCATTGATATAATAGAAATTATTATTAGACGATCCCAAAAGAATAGAATAGAATATATTATTGTGAAATAATTTAATGTTTTATTTATTATTATTATGATGATAAAATATAAACAAATATATATGAAGCCAAAAAAATAATCTAAGGAACAAATATATTAAATTATAGGAAAATATTGTATATGAAGCCAAAAAATATATAAATGATTTACACTAATATGGCATAAAGTTGGTCTTTACATATACACTGTAGATAATAAATTGTATCAAAGAAAAAATTCTAAGATTTTAGTGTAGATAATAAATTGTATGAAAGAACAAATTCTATGATTCCAATATTTTTAATTATTTTTGCATTTAAACTTTTTATATATTTTAATTGGTGTATATAAATATAAATGTAGGGATATTAAAGAAGTGGTATGAAAGAAAATTTTCCCTATTAAATGTCATAATAAAAAAAAATATGTGCCACATGTTGTAAGAAGAAAGTGACAAATGTCGTGATAATAGAGCTCCTTACAGAAAAACCTTGTCATATTATATAAGATATATATATTTTTTTTTTTGTCATCCGCAATTAAATAGAACTCAAAAAAATTATTTCTGAGGAATGTTGTTTACATATCTGATATGATGCAGTTCAGTACAATCTTTTCGTGCCAAATTATCCGCTTTTACATTTGCACATCGAGAGATTAAAGATAGAGAGAGAAGTTTGTAAATTCTTCCTTATCTCTCTGAAATTCCTCCAAATACACTGAAAATGCCGGCTATTCGGTTGGGGAAGACACCATATTCACCAGGTCTGAACAGTCTGTAAAGAAAACTATATATTGGTTGTCTGCACCAATCATACACTTTATCCTTCATATATATATTTATAATTTCGTATTACCCTATATTTTTATGGCCGGCGTACGATCTACCTCATAAAATTGATTGTAATTTATGTTTGGACCACAAGGAGTGATTTTTTGGTGTAGCCTAGCTATATTTTCATTACCAATAAGTTTAAAATAATGAAAGTATTTAATTTTTTTTTACAAATAGCTTTCTTAAAACCCATTTTATTTTTATTAAATATTTGAAAGTGAGTTTGGCTCATATATAATCTTAGGGTGGTCCAATATTTTTGAATTTACTATCATATGTAATTGCAGAGAACCTAATAATCAATCAAAACGTTGTCGGATGTTCTATATGTTGTTTGCGGAACACCTAATTGATTTAGCACCTAATCTATTCATGAGTGATAAGCAAAACATAGATAATAGCATGTGCTAACCATAAAGGACAACACAGAGTTTCTTAACGGGGTTTAGTTTTTCCTAAATCCCCATGACCAAATCCGCTAGAATAAGAATGTTACAATTGCTCATGGCATACAACACCCAACTGTGCTGCCATTCTATTCTACTAGATCTACAGCAGCCAAGAGATATATTAAGCTAATCTCTACCCAGATTATACTTAATCGGTGTTACACAACCTAACTCCATGTTGGCTTGTCCCCAATCACTCAAATTGGATAAAGATAAAAGCTACTTCAACTTGAAAGATAGCACAATCTTTAAATACAAGAGAAGAGAACCAATTAGTTTATGAAACAACATGGATCTCTTACCATACCATATCCAATTGGTTCTTTCGCATTATTGAACAAAAAGATAAACAAACTTCAGCATAATATTGAAACAACAGAACATTTTGAACTTGACTCCATCATATGACTGACAAATAACAAATCTCGATTATTTGTTTGAGTCATCCTCCGCTTTCTCCACCTTCGACACGAATGTGACCGGTTTCTTCGGATGTTCATTTACAGTCAAGTTGAGAACATCTGGCTTCGAGTAATGTCCAACCACATCAAAGTACAACTTAGCTCTTGCTATCTCACCAAGATCTGGATGACAAAAATAACGTTATGATATGATAAGCTCAAAAAGTTATCATTTTCAACAGCCTAAGATAAAAACTAAAGAAGAGTATATATAATTTTACCAAGATCAGCTGTGATGAGACCCTCTGATTCAAAGTTTGGTCCAGCCAGAACCTGTCCCATAGGTGAAATAATGACACTTCCGCCTTGGGAGACAATAGCATCATGTTCTTTGTTGTTGTCCAAATCGGTAAACAAGTAGTCAGGATGATCTGGGAAATCTTTACGCTGGCAGAACTGGCAAGCCGACAACACGAAACATCCACCTTCGATAGCAATGTGAAGCATCGACGATTGCCATTCCTTAGAACCATCAGCAGTAGGTGCACAATAAAGCTCAATGCCTGAAGGCCAAAAAAAAAAAAAGTGTAAGAATATTTCATTAAAGCTAGATGTGTCACACTTCAATGCATTAGAAGCTGACCTTTGGCGTACAATGCAGTTCTGTAGAGGGGCATCCTATTCTCCCAGCAAATAGCAGCCCCGAGTTTGCCAATGGGAGTGTCGTAAACGGGGATAGTTGATCCGTCCCCTTGACCCCAAATGCAACGTTCCAAAGTTGTGGGCATGAGTTTCCGATGCTTACCCAAGAACTGACCTTGTGGACTGAAGAAAAGAGCTGTGCAATAGAGTGTATACCCATCCTTCTCTATCGCTCCCATTACCAAGTACACATTGTTTTTCCCGGCCAACTCCGCCAATTTTTCAACTTCAGGGCCTACAGGTTCATCACAAAAAAAACAAGTTATAAAAATTTTAAAAACATGATACAAACTTCAAATATAGTCATATCATACGAATATTTTCTCTAAATAAGAGTTTATATAATTATTTGTACCTATAACCTATGTAAAGACAACCGATACTAAATTAAAACGAATATGGGGCGAATAGTTGGAAACATAATCGACAACCAATTCTTTAAAAGAACTATAAACCATTTACCCCGATCCGAAAGCAACCGATACTTTTTTACCTATTACGAGTCGGATACCGGATCGGAGACGAATGAGTGTCCAAACAAGTTTTCATATATCCTGAATGTTAAAATCAAGATTTGGATATTCGATTTTTCAGACCGATATGATTGGATCAGAGATCGGGATCCGAGATCAGGTGGTGTACTTGGAATACTCAGAGAATTTAATCACAAATTTTTTTACGTTTATCAAAGTTGTTGATTGTTAAAAGTTATGTAAAAAAAAAAATCATTTTATTCCTAGAATAAAAAATAGAAAAAGTAAACAGAGAATCCAGGGAGTGATACCAGGAACATGAATGGCAGAAGCATGGTACTTGCGGAACTCATCACGGCCCTCTTCGTTAAAAACACCCACAGCTAAACCAAACCTAAAACCTCGAGGATAACCGCCGATAAACGCCTCCGGGAACACCACCAGCTCCGATCCGTTGCTCGCAGCCTCTCCAATATACATCTTTGCCTTTTCTGATGAAAAAATCAAGTAGAGCGTTACATAAAAATTTGACATAGCTAAAACATGAAAATCATGAAAAATGATTAGTTAATTACCTAGAGTGGCCGGAGTATCGTTGTAGACGGTGGAGGCTTGGACAATGGTAGCTCGTACAATGGTGGATGAGGCAACGCCGTTAAACGGAGTTGTGTTTTCGAAAGTTGACATTTTTTCTGTACTAGACTTTAGACTTTGTTTTACTTCGGTAATACCGAGAGATTTGAGAGTCAATATATATACAGACTTTTTTGTTTTTGTTTTTAACCAATGGTTAATAAGTAAGAAGATAAGATTATGGGATTCTCTACCTCATATTTGCTATCAAACCAATACGCTGAGAAATCATGAAAAAAGAAGAAATGGGTTCGAGTAGATCAAGGTTGGTCTAGACAGTCGATTCGAAAAACTCTCTCATTCGTACGTTAGCTTGCGTACTAGTGCCCAAATAGAGCAAAATGGTTCATCAATCAGTTGATGAATAACTTCTCCTCCTCCCATTTGGACTATGGCCACTGTGGAGGACAATTTTTCTCTCTCTTTATCTAATCAAATGATAGACTAGGACTTAGATCATCATTTGACCGATCTTAGAACATCACACATTGTCCCCACTATGACTTAAGCTTAGAAGATTGAATGGGTTTAGTCTAGTTTAGAACATCACCCCAGTTTGACTAGTCACATTCTCTAAGACAAATGTTAGTGATCTAATCAAAAACACTATCGTCGAGTTTTAGAAGACTACCATTCATTTGATTGAGATTTGTACCTCTTTTTTGCATTTGTAAGTTATTGGGAGAACATTTCTGAACCCTAATCAATAGAAAAGATATATAAACCCTTCTACCTATTTCTCTAATATATTATTATATCTTTTTTTTTCCTATACTATTTTTTATGGGTAAGTAGTTTTATAGTTGGGTTTTCGAGGATTTCAAAACGGATTTTAAAGTTTGATAACTAAAAAGAATGATTATTAATGATTTTCTGAATTGGCTTTTTCATTTTAGTTAATCTTAGAGTAAGAACTTAAACCTAGTTTTGGGTATCCTAGGTAGTTGAACGCACTGAAAGTGTTTGAATAAATGTCTGAAAGACTTTAGATGAGTAAAGAACTTCATGTATTAGGGGGTATTGTGAACATATCACAACTGAATTAATGCTTGTTCAATTTTAGTTATTTGGAATGATGGTTTTAAAATCATAGATTTTATGCATAAGGTTAATGTTATTAGAGGCCACAAAGAAGCCCAATCAAGAGAAGCCCATTAGCTATGGAATATATTAGGTCTAAGCAAGTAGAGATATATACAGTTTTGTAATGACATCAAAGTTGTTAACTTTGGAGTTGCCATTGAGACTCTCCTCTTTCTCTTTGTATGAAATCAAATCTAAAGTCTTTGAGTTCTTGGTGACAACATAAAACTCTCTTCCTCTTTTAGTTTCTCTGCATAATATAGCTCTTAATGAGCTATCTAATTTCAGTTTTATATTTCTCTTAATAAGCTCATTTGAGCACAAACCTTCTTGCTTTTGATATTCCAACAAATGTTTTGCAAGAATGTTAGTCTAATTTCTGTTCGGATTTCTCGAAACATTACTTATTGCTTGTTTGATGAATTGTTTGTCTCTGATCTGAATTCATGAATCCTTGTGACCTAATGTTGTTAAATCCTATCGCTAATCATTTTATCGTTGCCATTGCTTTCTTGCTTCATAGTTACTTTTTTTGTTTTCTTTTTAAATTATGTGATTAGTCATTGCAAACCAAAACCAATCATCAAAAAGGTTTCGTCTTAACTAAATTATACTCTTAGTCATTACGTAACGTGTAATCATTTCTTATTTCTTGAGGATTTGATGAAGTTAATGATAAGACACAATAATTGTGCTCTTGCGTGTAAATTCTGATCTTATTATCAAGTCTACATCCGATCAATCATCTGCAAGAAACAAGCGATCATATTCTTATCAACTGTAGCTGTGGAAAAGTCTTGCTTATTCCTAGCGAGGGGTGTTAAATCCCGATAAACATATCTCTTCCGAATGAATCGAACTGAAATACTTAATCTAAAACTGAATCATATCTTAATATGGTTTAAATGGATTCATATTTTCTATATTTTAAAAAATTGAATTAAATTCCGAACTGAACCGAATAAACAAGAACTAAAAACAAAAATTCTTTAATAATTAAAGATATATTTGACTAAAACTCGACATCCGAAACTGAAACCAAACCAAACACGGTCTTAAACCAGGATTGGGCTTACATCAAACATCTCACTTCTCTTTGCCGCCATTCCCACAATGGAATAAAGTAATCACTAATCACAAGTCACAACAAGATCAATTCTCTTTGCAACTATGATCAGAGCCGAAACCTGGACCACTCACTAAAATTTACATATTTTATATCATCTGAATTTTTATAACAACTAATTATTATACATAAATGAAAAAAATAAAGTAAAATTTGAGCACGAGTAGTATGGTGATGTGGCAATGATACGTAGAATTGTCAATACCTGTGCAACAGCTGTTGGTTGAAAAAACAGAACCACAAAGTGAAAGTCAGTGTAAGTGAAGCAGCTGATCATCGCCTCTCTTTATAGTTTCTTCAAGGGTCTCTGGTTCCCGAGACAGTGAGAGAGAGAAAGAATCTTGTTTTATTTTTTTGACTCCTCAATTCCTAAGTAGCTAAATCAAGAACCCTTTTGATCTCTCTTCCCTTATCTTTTTATATGGCGGCTGAGGCGGCGGTGACGACGGCGTTCCCTGGCTTCAAATTCTCACCGACGGATATCGAACTCATATCTTATTACTTGAAACGGAAGATGGATGGTTTGGAGAAGTCCGTTGAGATTATACCTGAGGTCGATATTTATAACTTCGAGCCTTGGGATTTACCTGGTTTGTTTCCTCTCCGACTTGCCCTTTTTGTTCTTCTTACAAAAGTTATATCTTCATGTTTTCTAAATTTGGGTTATTCTTGTCGGAAGAAAAAAAAAAAGCGTAGAACTTACTATTTTGGGATGTCGTTATAACCTAGGTTACTTATTTTTGCAAAAAAATAGTTGGAATCTCGGGTGACAAATTTGGTATTACTTGTAGCATTTCCCCGGAAATATCCATGTCAATTTTTTTTTTGATTCTTGAATCCCCATGTGAACTTTTGAATTTAGGTGACATGCATGTTTCATCCTCTATATATATAATACTGTTTTCTAGGGAATTGATATATGATCTTGTTTTCTAGGGAATTGATATATGATCTCCTAGACTATGAAGCTTACTATACAGTATATTCATGAATCCGGTTGAATCTCCTCTAGTCATTCGGTTAGTTTCTACGGGTTTTATATATAGAACAAGATTATCAGTGTTTCCAAGAAGAAGTTCAAGAATATGAACTTTCTCCTTTTGAAATTGGGGTATGTTTGATAACATATTAACATGGCTTCTTCTTCACGGTGGTGGTACCGATAACTAATCATGTGGCTAACTTCTACCAGTTCTATGCAATTAGTGTATAGGAGAATAAGTAAGGGTGTTGAGGAGGTTAAAGAACTCCAATATATATGAATTTATTTCGCCTTTTGAAATCAGGGTTACATGTGTGATATCATGCCTTCTTTTTCATGTTAGTAGTACAATATTTCTGAAAAGCTAATTTGTTGAAACCTAATTAACCAAGAAGCAAAACCTTGGATTGGTTTGAAGATGTGGTTACTTGGCTTGTGTTGGTAGCTTCTAATATGCAATTAGTTAAATGCATCAAAGTAAGGAAACATACGTGTTTTTTGTTTCAATGTTTGCTTGATGTCTGTCCTTGATTTGCTCATACTTGTAGTTATCCCTTTTGTGCGTTGAACCACTACAAACTGCTCTTTCATTTGTAAGTATTCACATGGAAAGTAATTTATATTTGCATGAAAAAAAGTTCAGGACTATGACAATTGAGGTACTGTTGGATTTGCTCAACAAAATCTTCTTGTCCATTGTCTGAGAAAAATTTATTTTTCTCCCTTTTTTTCTTAACAAGTTCTTCTATATGTTTCTCGCAGATAAATCCATCGTTAAATCGGATAGTGAATGGTTCTTCTTCTGTGCTCGTGGTAAGAAGTATCCCCATGGTTCACAGAACAGAAGAGCAACCAGGATGGGATATTGGAAAGCCACAGGAAAGGAACGTAATGTGAAGTCGAGTTCTGAGGTCATTGGAACAAAGAGGACGCTTGTATTCCACATTGGCCGCGCGCCAAAAGGTGGAAGGACGGAATGGATTATGCATGAGTATGGCATGATTGGAGTATCACTGGTAAACTATCTTCTGATTCTTGAAGCTTTTTTTTTTTTGCCACATAATAGTACTAACTGGAAAATAGGATAATGTTATGTTTACAGAGTTTCTTGAGTGTTATATATAGGATGCTCTGGTTATTTGCCGACTTAGGAGGAATACTGAATTTCAAGGGGCTACAATTCAAAATCCACCACAGCCAAGTTTATCGTCTGACAAGGACGAAAACTTGCAGAATGAAGCTATTTTAGAAAGTATTTCTGGTTGGGAAAATATGGTTGATTTTTACTTATCAAGTGAGTCAGGGCAGGGACTACTAAGTGAAATAGCAGAATCTTCACAATCTTCACAAAATCCACAGGTTGGTCCGTTTTTATTTAGTTCCAAGTATCATTTGTAAACATATCTTTACGGGTATGCCACATGATCCATTTGCAGGTTGGTCCGTTTTTATTTAGTTCCATGAATTTTCCATGTTTTTAAGGTTCCTAGTGAAGAATATTTCTATGCGGATATCCTGAGGGATGAAATAGTAAAGCTAGATGATCCGGCGGTATCCGGTAATACACTGACCAATGTCCCAAGGCTTCAAACTGAGTCCAACACCACAAGAGTACTACCTTTACCTGACATGGTAGACAAACAAATGCAATCACTGCTACAGAAACTACCATTACAAAATGACACTGGAGAAGAAAACAACATATCCATGTCAAATTGCTTTATCGGTATCTACTCAATCAAGTCTATAAACCGAGCGCGATGGGGTGTTGTTGTTTGGTTACTGGTTATGATAGCCGTGTTGGTGTTTTATCTAGTGTGAGGCCAAAGAAGACAACTTCTAGACAGTTTGCTTGGTTTTGTTCTTAGTGTTGAGAGAAGATGTTGTTCTTGCGAGGCTTAGTTTACGTGTAGCATATATGTGTTCTAAGTATGAACCTGTGAGGTTCTCGAGATTTATGAAACTCTGTATAAGGTAGATTTTCTATTTTTATAAATTCATTATTGTCAATAAGATTTGGGTTTTGAGCTTGAAAAGAGATGTGAAAAATGTGTCTTTTAATAAAATTTGATTGCTTGCTACTCATCTTGGCCACAACAAATACTAAAACCAAAGCGGGTACAGAACAAATAACGGCTACAAGGTGAGTTGCAAGTAATTCGTTCTACAATGGTCATCATATAAATGGACTCTGTCTAAATTTAGTCTATGAAACTTCCTATCTCTGAATCTCTGCCTCCTCAGCTAATGTTTCCTATCTTTTTCCAATGTTTTTAAATTCAACCCGGACGGTGAACCGGACTACCTTATGGGTCATCGTATTACTGGGTTAACCGGATTCGAACACAGATCAATTGATTAAAATTTATTTAATATATAACTATACCATGTTTAACAAAATAGAAAATCTAACAATAATAATAAAAAAATAATTAAAATGTTTAAATTCAACTAAAACCATACAAAATACTAAGATAGTAGGATAGTGAACTGAAAAAGTTATAAAATAACCGAATAATGAATAGTAAATACACTAAAAGTCTAAATATCTATATTTTATTCCATATCAAATGATTTTCTTGAACCGATACCTGTCAAGTTCAACCGGTTCTTCGGATCGCGGATTAGTGGCAAGTTTTTGTGGGTTTTTTCGGTTTTGAAATTGTTGGATATTAGTACTAAACCCAAACTGAAAAGATGTTTGGATCGCGGATGAACCGGTCGGAATGGACAGTTCGGGTCAGACGTGAAAACACTCCTTTTCCCCTCTGTTAATGTGTGTAGGATAGGGAACTAGGGGTGTTCGGGACAATTCGAAAGTTAAAGCTAAATTACTAATTAGTTTTAAAATCTAGGATTACCTTTAGCAGGAAAAAAATTGAAATTGTGGAGTTCATCTGAAACATTAGTCCTCTTTCTTTTTTTTGCGCAATTCATCATCATCAAATTAAAAACCTCAGCTTTTGCATTTCTATACTAACACAAAACTCTCATTTCGGTGTTTCTGATTGCGAATTTGATCTCAAAATTCGATTTTTAAAAGATCTCTTTCAATTTCACCATTTCTGGACCCCAAACGGAGGAAGAGTTCGATCATGAAGTTTGGTTATTCCTCTGGTCAAATTCGATTTGTAAGTTTAAAGATCATCTTAATCGCTTCATTGGGTCTTCATTGTTTTGGGTTCTGAGAAAATGGTTACAATAAAAATCGAATTTTTGGATCTTAGAGGTCGATAATGCGTCGTCGTCTCTTCTTAAGCCCTAGTTAATAGGTCTTAAATGTGTTATTGCTTGACTTTAGTAATTGCAGATTTTAGAAACTTTCAAATTTAAATTGCTAATGATGAGATTTATTTTATTTTTTAGTAGTTTAAATTGATTTTGCCTAGAAATAGTTAAATTGCTTTGTGAATCCAATCACATTAGCTGGTGAGTGGTGACTTATAAAGGAAATGTGTAGTTCTTGAGTTGGTAGGCTTGTAAATAGTGTATTGGATTATAAATTGGCTAATTTCTTGGGGCAGGTGTTTTAAGCAACTGAAGTAACAATGTCGAAACCGATCCTGCTCGTGTGTCTACTAGTTATACTTATAGTTACCTCTCAGTTTGAATGGAGACAACCACTTGTTGAGTTAGATACAGCCACCAGCTTGTCTCAGAAACAGCAGCAAATTTCAGATAGGGAAGAAGCTGTCAAAGAGAAGGTACTGATTCCCAACTCTTTCATGCATTTCCGCGTGTTTAGGGATGGTGACCTTATGGTTCATATGTATCTGTTACTTGGCGTCATGCTTAAGGTTCATATGTTTGCATCAGCTAAGTCAGTTTTTAACCCCCTGAGAAAAATGTCCTGGTTACCATGGTATCTGTTGGTTTTTAATCGACTTTATTCTTTGCATTGATTATCTTTTATGGGACTTTCTGCAATTTTTAACGATTTCTTGGATTGGATTTCGTGTCTTATTCTGTTAAGTCTCTGCGGTTGTGTATGGAATTCTCCAATAAGAAAATTTTGTTCAACTGTTTGCTTGGATTGCTTAGTAGGTTTTCTCTTATGCATATGATAATTGAGAGGAGTGGAAAATCTAGAAGACTATTTTAGACATATCTTCTTTAATCTTACATTTTAGTACCATAAGGATCCAATTGGAAGGCACTGGTTCCCTACTCTTTCATGCATTTTTCTGTGTGTTTCCCGTTAGAAGAAGAGATTTTTAGTTGTATGTAAAATACATGAAATAGTTTTGGGATAGTGACCTTATGGCCTAAATGTAGTAGTGTCATGATGATTTAGCTTCATCTTTATATATCCGTTGCTTGGCGGCATACCTAAGGTTCATATGTATGCATCCATTAAATCAGTTTTTAATCCTTGTTTTGTTGTCTTAGAAGGTGTATTGATTACCATGGGATCTATTGTTTTTGAATTGACTTTATTCTTTGTTTTGATTACCTTTTATTGGACTTTCTACGATTCTAAATGTTTTCTTGGATAGGTTTTTGTGTCTTGTTCTATTCCTCTCTGCAGTTGTGTATGGAATTCTTCAATAAGATTTCTTCAGAATGTGTTTGAATAGTTTGATTGGATTGCTTGGTGGGTTTTCTCTGATGCATAAGATACTTGAGAGAAGTTGAAATCTATAAGACTATAATTAGACATAACGTCTTTGATCTTACATTTTAGTACCACAAGGATCCAGTTGCATTTCATTGAGTAACCTTAGGTTTTGGCTTAGTCATTTCATTGACCTCAGTGTATTCTCTATCAATTTCTATCTTAGTAATCTACATCTTCCCTTGCTAATCCATCTTGAGGCTATCATTATTTATGTGGATCAGGAATGAGTAGCAATGCTAGGATCACAAGTTTTCATTTAGACAACACTGACAATTATAGTAGCTGCAAATCCAAGAGTTTAAACGAGGTTAGGTAGAACGATTATGTAGATCATAGCTTTCGGGACTCAACATGATATTAGTTATGGGCTTGTGCTCTTTTTCATCTTTATGATAAGTTAATAACGCATTCCAGGTTAGTTTCAGATAATTGTTTACTTCATCTGCTCTTAGGACGCTTCTCACTTAGGTATTTTCAGTCACCATCTACAAAAAGCTGATATTCTAAAGAATCCATAAGGGTGCCCTTATTCTAAAGAATTAACCTGTCATTCTCAGGGGGGAACGCCAAAATCTAACCGCAAAGTTCACCGTTTTTACAGATCATCATATCACAAGAGAGACATATCCAGAGGCTAAATGAGCTTGTCAGGAGTCTTCAATTGCAGTTGCTGCAATGCAAGGGAGAGAATGAGACCCAAAATGCCACCAAAAGCTATCATCTAAACAAACAATTCATCGAGGTCGAAAGGAAACAAATCCTGGAAGGCTAAACTATGAAAAACATTTATAAACAACTGAATTGGTATGTAAAAGTTGTAAAAAAAAACACTCTTTAATTTTTGTGTTCAGATGTTGTATTGTAGACTTGTAGTATCTCTGTTTTTTGTTTAACGATACACCATCACACCTAGAATTGAAAGTATTTTTTTCTTTATCAGACTGTTAAAAATGGCTGATACATGAGACTATGGGTGAGAAATATTTGATGTCTGAATTCGGTCGAGAGTGAGAATAATGAACGAGATTGACGAGAAAATATAGGTATTGAGAAAACAGTCCAAATCGACTCGAACATTTTGCCCTATGCGCTTTTCTATACCTAAACTTCAATGTGATATATTTTTTATAACCTTAACTGTTATAAAATTCAAATTTCATATCTAAATTAATAAACACTGACTTAACCGATGTTTGATGACTAAGCCGCCACTGACGAGTGAATGGTTCAAAATGACGTCGTTTTGTCTATATAGAATAAATTAAGATTCAATAATAAATTTTTGGAAAATTATTCTACATATTCAAAACGACGTTGTTTTGAGTCATGTATGCAACTAGAGATTGACCCGCGGTACACCGCGGGACGATATTTTATAACAAAAAAATGAAATTTTAAGTTGTATTTGTTTTGTTAATATTGTTTGTTTTGTTTAGTATTTAAGATTGTATAATTGTATTTTGATTGTTAATTCTAAGATTTCACCCGTAGTATACCATCCCGTATTAATATCGAACATAATCCGTCCCACCATATAACCATGTCCCGTGAAATGAAACATCATTTTATCATTTTCTTATAAAGTTTAAATATTTGAAACTTCATAAAAGTTTTAATATCGACCCAAACTTCATAATTTTATTTTGATTGTTATATCTAGGATTTCACCCGTAGTATACCGTCCCGTACTAATATTTTTTTTATAAATATTATAATGTTTAAACTTCTTATAAGAATCTAATATTTATATATAACAATGTTAGATTTTTGCATTTTGTTATTTAGTATTAAAATTATATGAGTTAAACTTTTGTGGTTTTAGTTTAACATGTATAACATATGTAATTGAATAACTTAGTATTGCAATTACACATTTGGAGGTTTCAATGGAGATTAAGACTTATTTTATATATAACAATGTTGGATTTTAACAAAAGAAATTATTTAGTAACTCACCCGTGAGACAAAACTTTTTAATTTTGATCTTCATAAATTTATGATTTTTGTAGTATATAGAACTGATTGGTGGTGTATGATTTTTAATAAAATTTAGCTCTTATAGTTAAAATGTAGTATTATTTACATTCATATGTATGACAACATATTTTTTAAAGTAAATAAAATGATTTGTAAAATTATTCACAAACCAAAAATTTAGCCCATTTTCACGGATACGGGATCTTTAATTAAACTGAAAATTGAACATCTTTTTTTTCTTTTGATTTTTCGAACTTTTTATTAAAATAAAAAAGGATTTGTAAAATTATTCACAAACCAAAAATTCAGCCCATTTCCACGGAACAATAAAAAAATTACACCAATTCCAAATCATTTTTTTCAAAAGTCTTTAATATCTCCAATCATTAAAAATAAAGCAAGAATCAATATAGATTTTTTCGTCCACAAAAAAAGAAGAAAAAGAAAAATGTGTAAAATCCAAGAAACAAAGATACCAATCAAGACCCAAAAAAGTTCATATCTTCACCTCTTTAAGCTAGGCTGCCGCTTTTCGTTTGACCTAATCCAGCTTCCACTTTCTCTCTATATTTTGCCAAAGCGTCACAACCACCGTATCCGCGTCATTTTTTTTCCCGATGATTAATTGTTGTCCCACTGATCGGCCCAAGAATATGGTTTCAAGTAATTATTACCTATATAAATAAAAACAAAAAAAATCAGATTTAATTCAAAACACGTAATTAAAATAGATTTACAAAATTGAATCACAATAGAGATTCACTCACCAATTATTCTAGACATGGCAAGAACTCCAAGAACCCCAGCTATGTTCATTGTAGCCTTGTTGACTTTAAGGAAAAGTTAAAAAAAAAATCTGCATTAGACATGACAAAATAATCTTTGTATGGAACACAAAACAAAAAATACGAAAGTTCTTATAACAAAATAAAAGAAACAAAAAACAAACTATTATTTTCAAGATCTTATAATCGTGACATTTATTTCTAAATGTTCTAAAAGGGTTTCAATATGAAAGACTCCTAACAGATGACATGAGAAATAAAGCATAGATAAATTTTAAAATATATTGATCGGAAAGGTGTGTTGATGAATGACATGACTGCTCTCAACATCTCTTATATAGGGATCACATAATTTAGGGTATTCTAAATCATTGTTATTTTCTTGGTGATGAAGTTAGAATATTGTTGGAATATGCCGAAATATTGTGATTGAATAAATAATTGTCTTGTTTTTGGAAAGATTGTGATCTTTAAAATATTGTTGCAATATGCCAATATCTATGGCAAATTAATGCAATTTTTTTTCTTCTATCTACGTAGTTACAAAGATATTTCCATAAAAAATCCAATAAAATTATCAAAGATTTCGGAATATATAAGTTTATGCTACTACTGCAACTTACCAAAACAACAAAATCCTAATAATATCTATCATTAATTTGGATTACACAATCAGTTATATACTCCGAAATCTTTGCTAATTTTATTGGAAAGTCTCATAACTATAGTTCTAAGGTTTAATGCGGATAATTGATACATTGTTAGGATTTGATAGATTAGGATTATAACTGAGCGAATATTTAGTCGAAATACTTGATTTTTTTTTTGGAAAGTCTCATTTAAAAGAATCCGAGAGTTTTGATTGGTAGATGAGTCGGGTCAAAAAATCTAATCGGGTCAAAATCTTTGAAAAAACCCGACCCGATTGGCTTTGAGCAAATTTGTACTTCAAAAATGTTAAGTAGATATAGCCAAACCGACATCATTTTAAACCATTCACGTGCCATGTAAAATATCCAATGGCAGTTTAGTCATCGAAAATTAATGGTTGACTAATACTGTCTAACTTAATGTTGGTTTTCACATAACGTTTAGTAATTTAGGTATAAAATTTGAATTTAAAAACGGTTTATATTGAAAAATGCATTCTATTAAATTTAGTGTGAAAGTGCATATTGTAAAATATTTTTGTTGATTTTTACCATTTTTCCTATTAGATATTGTATGAACTTGGTGTTACATCTGCCCTTTGTCTTTATTTATGTTTTCCATTATCTTTTAGACAATAGATATCACAAGAAAACATAAGCAGTTTTTACATTTACCGATTTGGTGAATGAATAGTTGATGTTGAGCCAAAAAAAAAAAAAAAAAAAAAAAAAAAAAAAAGAAAACATAATGTGGAATTTTAAGCAGGACGACGTGCGTATATCCCAAAAATAAAAATAACTAGAGAGAAAAAAAAAAGCGAGAGTCCCCGAGAGAGCAAACCCTAGATCTGAGCCGCCGCCGCCTCTCCGCCGCCCGGGGCTTTCGCCGGCGGTGAGAGAGGGCCCCCTTTCTTCTTTTTTCGTCTTCTTGTCTTGTAGTGTATGTCTAGATCGACTCGGCACCGGTTTCTTCGGAAGGCTAAGGAGTAGCTCAATCGAAGGTGAAGACGACGCGGAGGCAGTAGCTGCAGGAGAGAGATCTCGGCTCGATCCTTCTCCGGGAGCCTGGTGGGAGTGCGGAGCTGCTCTGAGCAGCGCTCCGGTCTTTCCGCTCCCTCCTTGGAGATTCTAGCCGATCAGAGATCCATGGTCGAGTCGGAGTCAGAGTCTTCCAGGCGCTGGGGAGGTGATGTGGTCGACGGTGGCCGAGATGAGGCTGTCCTCAAGCCGGAGATCGAGTGAGCCCCCTCAAGTCTGGTCCAGTCCGTCGATGGAGCGAGGCATCAAGGCACCTGCGGCGAGATTGTTCCGGCAATGCACCGTGAAGGTGAGATCGTACTAATCCGGGATCCACTGAGTTATCTTTAATCGATTAGTATCCTGCTATTGACTGGTTAGTTCGGAGAATGCTCGAGTCATGCCGGTTTTGCCTCGTATCTTTAGTCGGTTCATTCGGATTTAGTGTCCGCTTTTGGTTTAAGACCGGAACAACAAAAGCCGGAGATCCCAAGTTTTCTGATGATGCGCCTTTGGGTGTGGACGCTATCGGGACACGGTCTACACGCTAATCTTAAGAGTCTCATAGCTTGGAATCGATTTGGGATTCAAGTTAAGATTTGGTTTCCTCTGAGTTAGTAGTTGTTTTCGTGTCATAGTGGTTAATTTAGGTGGTCTAAGAGATGTTTTCACTCCGAATAGCGGGGTGTTTTCATCTTGCAGTGGTTGGAAAATACAATGATTTCCAGTTGGGTAGCGTTGGATCCGTTAGTGTTTCAGGGTTGTACTTGACTAAATCATTGTATTTGAGTGAAGTTTGTCGAGGTCAAATGATTTGTAATACCGATTTGGTGAATGAATAGTTGATGTTGAGCCAAAAAAAAAAAAAAAAAAAAAAAAAGAAAACATAATGTGGAATTTCGGAAGCTGTTTATCCCATAGAAATCGAATGCTCTATATCATGATAAATATTATGAAGTAATAATATTACTAGTGTGTTATCGTTTACGTAATATTCCATAATCCCTTAAAAATAATGTTTATAAACCACCAAACATATGCTTTGGAAGGTATTATCTAGGAGGACAAAATGCTAGCAAGATCAACGATAAATTCAAGGGTTGCTTATAGCTGTCATCCTATATTATAAGCGCTCAACTAGGATTATCTTGTACATTCCCTTCTTCTTAATTCGATTTATACTAATTAAAAATTTCTTAATTTACCCTAATCTTTAAATTTCTACCCATTTCACCAAGTTCAATTAATCTATTCAATTGCGTTTTAAAATCATAATTTCGCATTCATTGTACTGCGATTAGAGCTAAATCGAGTTTAAATTAGTTGACCCGAGTACAGTGCTATAACCCGAATTGAAACCCGAAGGTAGTCGGGTCAACTAATTTAAACTCGATTTATCTCTAATCGCAGTACAATGAATGCGAAATTATGACGTAATTGAATAGATTAATTGAATTTGATGAAATAAGTAGAAATTTAAAAATTAGGTGAAATTAAAAAGTTTTTAGTTAGTACAAATTGAATTAAGCAAAAAACGAAAGTACATGATGATCCTAATTAAGCGTCTATAGTATAAAGCGACAGCTACAAACAGTCCTAAATTCAAAAATTTCTTGCAAATTGTGTTGTATTTTTTTTTTTTTTTTTTTTTTGATCAATGCAACTTGTGTTGTATAGTCAACACTTGTGTTGCCACATTGGTACTCCATAGCCAAATGTATTCAATTCATGTATTTTTTTATGATCGACCCAATTCCAACTTTAATAGATGAAATTATTTAAGATAGTGACCTTTTTCTCTTAAATAAATGAACAAATATTCAAAAAGATTTGGGATATAAAAAAAAAAAAAGATTTGGGATTTTCGACGCAACACACTTGGAAGTTTGGACTCTATCCATCAACTTGAAACTTTTCCTTTTAGCAGTACTAGGGGCGAATCCGGGCTACGCCCGGATATATTTTACATTTGATATTTTAAAGTTTGCTAACGTATTCTGTTTTAGTTTTTTTTTTTCGTATACTGTACATTGCAAAAAAAAAAAAATCATGTAATGTTGTATTTAACATTTTGATATATGTGTGTGAAGAAAACATATATATATTACTGATTTAATTATATCTATTTATAACTTTTTCATTGTAATTTATATTTAAAATTTTAATTCTTATTTTTATTATTAATAGGGGGCATATTGAATTATTGATTTGGGATGATTTGTGTTTTTAAAACAATCTCCCCTTGTTGCACCAGTGATTTTCTGAAATGTATTAAAATCCTACCGTATTGAATTTATCATTTGTTAAAATCAATCCAAATCTATGGTTATTTGATTAATCATTTATAAAAATGTTTTAAAATCTCTCGTTATTGCAAAACTGGGATGTTGTAGTAAAGTTAAAGTGAAATAATGTGGGTAAATCACACCTTATATGATGATCTTAGGAGGATTTTTAAAATTAAACATTTTTTATTTTTCCAGTTTACAAACACCTCTTTCTTGTTTATTCCATTTCACCACTAATCTATTTAGAACCCTAAAAAGAGAAAACTTGATCCTTGGATAAAATATTCTCCTTTCTCTTCCAATCGTTCTAATCTCATAGCTCATTCTTTCTCTACTCATTCTCTTTGCAGAACTAAGGTCGCAATTTAGTATGTTACTACGGATCTTGTAGTTTGGAGGGGATCTTGATGTTTATACCTCTTCTCTGCTTTAGAAAGCTTAAGTTTGTCACTGAACTCTAAAACAATGACTGTCCAGTTGCTATAAGGAGGATAAGACAATATTAAACGCGATTGACCCGACGATTAAGTTCCCAACCTAGATAATCATATTAAGAACTTAAATTGTTTCCGAAACCAAATTATCAAAAAAATTCAGAATCTTAAGTCAGTAAAATATATATAATTTTTTGAATCTCTAAATCTCCAAATAGTCTAATAATCTTGAGACGTCGTTGTGCTTGTCACAAACTGATATTTCAGTATATGGGAAACATTAGAGATGATGTCGAGGCTGCAGATCATCATATAGACAAAAGACATCGTAATAGAATGAAGATTTAATTAGCTGAGTACCTTAACTTTGTTGGATTTCTTATAGGTGGTGTATACCATTGTAATTGATGTGGTGGTTTGGGACAACTTGATATAGTGGTGGTGCTTACCCAAAAGCTCTCTGTTTCTGTCTACAATGGCTGCGAAATCAATGAAGTGGTGGATCCTAAACTTCTGGTTTCTGATTATCGATTATGTGATTGCGAGACTCCTTCTTTACGAAATTGATTAATCTGGATAAGACTTCTTCTTTACGAAAATCTTCTTCAAGGTCATCGAAAGTTTTTATGGTAAGTGGTTTTTGGAATAGAAGGAAGTGGCTAAAGATGACATGATTTGATTGGTGAGTCTCGTTACAAAGATGTTGGGATGATGGTTGCATTCGAACTCCCTGATTTTATAAGCTTTGGAAAGAAAGGCAATCAATGAGATTGTAGTGGCCATTTTAATTATTGAGAGGAAGAAGTGGGTAATTAAGAAGACGAAGTTGTAACGTTGGCGGAAGAGTAATCGGTTGACCTTATGTGGTAGTGGACCTGGTGGTGGTGACGATTCAGGTACTGCAGAAGAAGAAGAGATTGGCGTGTGTAGAAGAAGATGAGGGTTAGACTTGTTTGTTGGGCTATACATGCTTTTATGGTTTTTTGTTTGGGCTAGCTTTTGATTTCTTAAGTAGGAAAAGAAAGAGAAGTGAAGGAACATTATTTTGTTTTGGGCTTTTATTGTATATGTGGTCCATGAATTTATGGATTTTCTTTGTGAACCAACCCGAGTAATCGTACTTTACTAAAATAATGAGATGCTGACGTGGCTTCTTCTTAAGTAGTTTTTTTTTTGCTGATGTGGATGGCCTGAGAAGCTTCAATTAGCATCTTTTATTAGTAAGAGATGTCCAATTGACTCATATATAATATTCGTCAAAATTTTAGCCACTTACCATAATTGCCTTCACGATATCTAATTCAACATTTCTAAAAAAAAAGGGAAAAAACCCGAAAAAACCGCCATCTATTTTTTTTTTGGCCGTTTAATACATGTAATATTAAATTTGGAATAAAAATACTTCGTTTAATTTCGGTTGTCTTTTAAAATCTTCGTTTTTAAAAAATTGGTAAAATCAAACTCCTTAACTTTGCTAACGGAAGAACTAACTGCGGTTAAAACTTAACCCATGGTGTTTAATTATATATATACATTCTCTGTCCGACAACTTACGAATATATTGTTGTAGCCAGATGGTTAAATGTGGGAAGACTACCCAACTAAACCTGGGTTCGAATCCCATTTGTCCATTTTTTTGTTTTTTTTTTTGTTTTTTTTTCTCCTTCTTCTCTTTTGTCTTCCTCTTCTCCTACTCAATGGCTTCGAGACCAAACCCAGAAACTCAAGAGATCAGAGCACTCAATTGAGAAATTCTTGAAACAAAATGCAAATCTATTCAACGAAATCTGGAAATAAAACAAAAGCAATTCTCGATCTCTCTCCAGAAATTAGATCTACCCAAAAGTGTCCACAAAATCTCAGATCTGCATTTGCTCCATCAAAAACTTCACAATTGGATCTAATCAAACAACATTCAAAACCCAAAGTCAGACATATATAATCAAATCAAATCAAACAAGTGATTTAAGATTCCTAAACTCTTTAACCCCATAAGTTTCTTTTTACTCTGGTATGATTCCAAATCCCTAAACACTATATTTCTCGAAAAAATCCAAACTTTTTCCATGAACTTCTCAAATTGCAGAGGCGCTAATCAAACAAACAATGGATTAAGATTCAGAAACTGAGGAAAATCGAGGATTGAAAAGGAGATGCTTAGTCTGCACATATACTTCACAAAGAAGACGAAGACCAAAAAAAAAAAAAAAAAAGGTTTTAAAGTGACGCGGTGAGATTCGAACTCAGGTTCGAGTGGACAATTCAACACTCGTTTAACCACCGGACTAGGATAATATATTTGTGTATGTAAGAAAAGAGATTGTATATATATACGTAAACACCCTGGGTTAAGGTTTAACCGCAGTTAGTGTTTCCGTTAGCAAAGTTAACAGTCGTTAACTCGGGGGTACGATTTTACCAATTTTTAAAAAACGAAGATTTTAAAAGACAACCGAAATTAAACGAGGTATTTTTATTCCAAATTTAATACTACACGTATTAAACGGCCAAAAAAAAAATAGATGGCGATTTTTTCGGGTTTTTTTCCCTAAAAAAAATATAATGTAGCTTTTTTAAGTTTGTTGAGTCATATATATATATTATTTTGAAAAGAGCTCTATTGTACTTTTTAAAACTCATTCAGTAATTTATATAAGAAAAAAAATTCGTTTTAGATATGAATTGGATCTTCCCAAAAATAAAGATTCAACTAATCCATGATTAATAACATTCATGAAATTTTGTTTTTGCTACAACATACATATATTCAGTGTATACAATCAATAGTGACATATAATAAAATAGAAAAAAACGAATATCAATAAATAAAAGGGAAAAAACCCGAAAAAACCGCCATCTATTTTTTTTTTGGCCGTTTAATACCTGTGTTTTTAAATTTGGAATAAAAATACCTAATTTAATTTCGATTGCCTTTTAAAACTATCATTTTTTAAAACTTGGTAATTTCGAACCCGACACTTAACAGTCGTTACCGGACGTAACGGAATTATTTAACAGCGTTAACTTTTAACCACACGTGTTTTTATAAATATATACCAACTGCTCGCATCACATTACGAGAATGTCATTGTGGCCTGATGGTAGCATGTGCTGTTTTGTAAGCCACGACCAGGGTTCGAATCTCAATCGTGGTCGCCCGAAGGCTATTTTTTTTTTTTTTTTTTTTTTTCCTTCTCTTTCTTCTTCCTCCTACCTCTTTAACGCAAAGCTCCATGGTCCTCGCCGTCGCCTCCTCTATTGATAACTCCGTTCACCTAAAGAAAAGTTAAATTTATTGGTTTTTTCTTCTTTAACGACCAACAAATGCAGAGATTAGTGAATTGTTTAGATTCAATGGACCAATTTTGCGGAAGAATCCAAAGCCAGCTTTGTCCAGGAGTTTAATTGGTTCATCATTGAGTTTCCATTTATGAAGAAGTAATGAAGTGTGTTCTTGACAACGAAAAAGACGAACCCTAGATTCAAAATTTGAAATTTCGAGGAAGAAGAAAAAGAATGAGAAAGTTTTGGGGGCGGCGGCTGATGGTCGCCCTAGGGTTTCCTGCAGAAAAAAAAAAAAAATAGCCTTAGGGCGACCACAAAGTTTGAGATTCGAACCCGGGTCCCGTGGCTTGCAAAACAACACACGCTACCACCAGGCCACATTGATATTCTCGGAATGTGTAGTGAGCAGATGGTATATATTTATACATACACGTGGGGTTAAAATTTTACACCGTTAAATAATTCCGTTACGTCCGGTAACGACTGTTAAGTCTCGGGTTCGAAATTACCAAGTTTTAAAAAATGATAGTTTTAAAAGGCAATCGAAATTAAATTAGGTATTTTTATTCCAAATTTAAAAACACAGGTATTAAACGGCAAAAAAAAAAAATAGATGGCGGTTTTTTCGGGTTTTTTCCCATAAATAAAAGAATAATTAATTAATTAAACCCACTAACCCAGTAGAGAGTGGCCAAGTTGGACCAAGTCAAGTTACGTTACATAGTCAAACCCCACCACTTGACGCGTTTCTCGTCCCACGTCTTCTTCCTCGCAACTCTTCACTCTGTTTCACACACACATCTCATATATATACACACTAACTCTTATCCCCAAATCATAATTCAATTTCAATGGCGATCATCAAATCAAACACATATCACAAACCATGCGACGGTATCACCATCGTGACTCGTGAAGTGTGGGCGGAGAATCTCGAATCAGAATTTGAGTTACTCAGTGAAGTCATCGACGATTATCCATTTATCTCAATGGACACTGAATTTCCCGGCGTGATTTTTAAATCCGATCTCCGATTTACGAATCCCGCCGATCTTTATACTCTTCTTAAAGCTAATGTGGATGCTCTAAGCTTAATTCAAGTCGGTCTCACTCTCTCTGATGCTAAAGGTAACCTCCCAGATCTCGGTGAAAATCTCCGAGGATTTATCTGGGAGTTCAATTTCCGAGACTTTGATGTGGCGCGTGACGCACACGCGCCTGATTCGATCGAGTTACTTCGTCGGCAAGGTATCGATTTCGAGCGGAATTGTCGCGACGGTGTTGATTCGGAGAGGTTTGCGGAGTTGATGATGTCGTCGGGGCTTGTTTGTAATGAGGATGTGAGCTGGGTGACGTTTCATAGCGCGTATGATTTCGGTTACTTGATGAAGATTCTCACGCGCCGAGAATTGCCCGGCGCGTTGGGTGAGTTTAAGCGCGTGATGAGAGTGTTGTTTGGTGAGCGCGTGTATGATGTGAAGCATATGATGAAGTTTTGTGAGAGGAGGTTGTATGGCGGTTTAGACCGGGTTGCAAGGACGCTTGAGGTTAACCGGGCGGTTGGGAAATGTCATCAAGCCGGTTCGGATAGTTTGCTTACGTGGCATGCGTTTCAGAGGATGAGAGATTTGTATTTTGTTCAAGATGGGCCGGAGAAACATGCTGGGGTTTTGTATGGGCTTGAGGTTTTTTGAGGGGTTTATTGATTTTTTTATAAATTCAAATTCAATTAATTAACTCAATTAATCCTTGTAGTTAATGAATGTTCTTTGGAAAGAAGAAATATATAAAAATAAATAAAGATAACTTTTAGAAATTGAAATTTTCCATTGTTAATCCATATTAAATTCATATAAATGCACATGAATTCGAAAATATATTATCAATTCATATGGATATAAATTATTTTCTAATATATATAAACCAACAAACCACCTAAGCTTTTAGCTGCAGCAAAGATTACCCCAAATGCCATAACATGTCTAAACACTTATGATAAAAATCAAATCATGCACAATCAACAAACACATGAAAAAATGCTCGAATCACTAATGATGTTTTGTTCCGATGACTTCTTTAACGATAAGTATAACATATAAAAATATGACAAAAACCTTTTGGTACCAAATCACACAAAAAAAAAAGTCAGAAAACAAAAGAAAGTCAGAATTTTTTTATCATTACTAAATGTATATCATTATCCATTTAGGTGATTTATAAAAAAATCTATTTTTATATAAACGATAATTATTCTCGTAAAAAATTTATTTTTTTTTGTTAAAAGGTTTTCTTATATAAATGAAGAGAAACGTATACAAAAAACAAAAACCAGAAAGAAAACTAGTAAGAAGTACTAGGAGGATGAAGGATCCAAAACAAACAAAGCTGAATAAAAGAAGAAACAGAGCCTATTGTTTGTTTTCAACCTTAGTTAAGCCAGTATTGAAGAAGCGAGGACCCTCTCTTTAAGCCCAACTGTAGCATAGCAGTACACTTGCTATTCATGGTGGAAATGATGAGTGTTGCCACTGTAACTGGAGAGACGGAGAGACCATCATGGAAACGGCGATTTCGCTCCCTCCATAGTTCATAGATTGTCCCTTGCCAACCTTGAAGAATAGCAAGCTTTTTGTGTTTTGATGTTGAAGCCGTTGGCAGCCAAAGGAGGATTTGATCCCATAGAAGCGGAGAGGAAGATATCCTAAGTCTATGTGTGATTAATCTCCAAACCTCAGTAGAGAAGGCACACTAAAAAAACAGATGATTTCGTGACTCATGTGCCAAACCACAAAGGAGACAGTCTAACTCAATATCAAAGCCCCAAGTAGACAAACGATCAAGAGTAGGGTTGCGATTGAGTATAAATAACCATGATGTGAGAGCATGCTTTGGGATGATAGCTTTGTGCCACACAAGAGGAGCCCAAGATTTCTTTGGATGTGAAATCCGAACAACATTCCACACAGCTTTAGAAGAAAAAGATAAGTGAGGCAGACCATCAATTGCCCAAACCGGAGTATCATTAGCTGATGACATGGAAATGGTAGAGATGAAAGAGTGAAGAAGAACTTGTCTCTCCGTTCTGGCATGAGGAAGAGACCATCCATTCTGAGTTCTCACTTCAGACACAGTTGAAAATAGAGGGATCCCTAAGCGAGTAGGACCATCTGAACCAAGAAAATGGTAAAGAGAGCCAAATGGAGTCCAAGGATCCCACCAAAAAAAGGTAGAATCACCATTTCCAATATTGATGCTGAAAAATTGAAGAGCTTTGGGACGTAGCTTAAGTAATTTTCTAAAAATCCAAGAGTATGTAACATTCTTTTCATTGAGCGCCCACAAAGGAGAAGTAGAAAGATACTTACTTCTTATCCAAGCGACCCAAAAAGAACCGGCTCTAAAAAACAGCATCCACAAAAGTTTCAAAGCACATGTCTCATTCCAACTACCAATATGTCGCAAACCAAGTCCACCCTCTGATTTAGGCAAACAAATATTACACCATGACACTTTTGCACCTGAGGGTGTATCGACCTTTCCATGCCACAGAAAAGAACTGCATAGACCATTGATCTTTTTAACAACCTGTTTAGGGAGGAAGAAAGCACTTGTCCAAAAACCTATAATTCCGGAGATAACTGTGGAGATGAGTGTTAATCTTCCCGCTAGACTCAAAAATTTATGAGTCCAAGAGTTCAGCTTTTTCCGAATATGAGAGAGCAAAGGATCACAATCCTTAACTGAAAGCCTTCTCGAACATAAAGGGAGACCTAAGTACCTGATTGGAAGCGAGGCTAAAGATAGGTTGAAAACGTCTTTCAGCCTGTTCAAATTATCCTCATTTATTTCAGAACAAAACATGGAGGTTTTCTCAATGTTCATTCCCAACCCTGACATTTCCTCAAATCTTGCAAGGACTGACAGAACTCCACTCAAAGATTGCTCAGATCCATCAAGGAAGATCAATAAATCATCGGCAAAACAAAGATGAGTAAGCTTAATATCTTCACATCCAGGGTGGTACTTAATTATATTCCGTATAATCTAGTTGTAGAAACAAGAGAACGATTGAACTTTATTGAATGTTTGAAACAAACATAAGAATATTTATACATAGTTGACTAAAAGATTTTAGATATAGTAGATACGGAAACTTTATTCTACCCAATTCTTCAAGCATTTATACCTAGTATTCACAAATATCCGATATTATTCCAACAATAAAAGTGAGTGAAGCTTTGTTGGTGAAAAAAAAAGAGAGTAAAATAAATACGAACTTTGATTTTGTAGAAAACCCAACCACATGCATTTGTCTATATGGATCTATATTTTGTGTCTGTGAGAACACATTAATTACTTTTCACTTCAATATAAAAGGAATTGGGAGAGTTAGGCAAAAGAACAAAACAAGAAAATGTCTGTCTTCCTTTGTTTCCTCTTACTCTTCCCTCTATCTTTAATCTTCTTTAAAAAGCTTTTACCGTCGAAAGGAAAGCTTCCTCCCGGACCTACGGGTCTACCGATCATCGGAAACTTACACCAGCTTGGAAAGGTTCTCCACCAATCTTTTCACAAAATCTCCCAAGAATATGGACCAGTGGTGCTTCTCCATTTCGGGGTAGTCCCAGTGATTGTTGTCTCCTCCAAAGAAGGAGCTGAGGAAGTGCTCAAGACTCATGATCTTGAGACTTGTAGCCGACCTAAAACAGCCGCGGTTGGCTTGTTTACTTACAACTTTAAAGACATTGGTTTCGCTCCTTTTGGTGAGGACTGGAGAGAGATGAAGAAAATCACAATGCTTGAGCTCTTTAGCTTGAAAAAAATCAAGTCTTTTAGGTACATTAGAGAAGAAGAGACTGAATTGTTAGTCAAGAAATTATCCAAATCTGCTGACAAGTCAGAAACCTCATTAGTTAATTTGAGGAAAGTCTTTTTCTCCTTCACAGCAAGCATCATTTGTAGACTTGCCTTTGGACAGAACTTCCACCAGCGAGATTTTGTTGATATGGAGAGAGTGGAAGAGTTGGTGGTTGAGTCAGAGACCAACCTAGGCACCTTGGCGTTCGCCGATTTCTTCCCTGGAGGGTGGCTCATAGACCGGATTTCCGGTCATCATTCGAGGGTTCACAAAGCCTTTTCCAAACTCGCCAATTTCTTTCAACATGTAATCGATGATCATTTGAAGACTGGACCTCAAGATCACTCGGACATCGTTAGTGTCATGTTGGATATGATCAATAAACCAACAAAAGTCGATTCTTTTAAAGTCACTGATGACCATCTCAAAGGAGTCATGTCTGTGAGTACAAATACTTCTATAGTAAAATCTATTACATTTCTAACTTGAATAACAAGGTTATTATACCTTGGGAAGCAAGTTAACCTAAGTACTATAGAAAAATATCTCGTTTGATAGATATTATGTCATTTGATCAGGATATGTTTTTGGCTGGAGTGGATGGGGGAGCCATCACGTTGTTATGGACGATGACAGAGCTAAGCAGACATCCGAGAGTGATGAAGAAACTCCAAGAAGAGATAAGAGCAACTCTCGGACCCAACAAAGAGAGAATCACAGAAGAAGTTCTAGACAAAGTTGAGTACTTGAAACTGGTGATCATGGAAACATTCAGATTACACCCACCAGCTCCTCTCTTGCTCCCAAGACTAACTATGGCTGACATCAAGATTCAAGGCTACAACATTCCCAAGAACACCATGATCCACATTAACACGTATGCGATAGGACGTGATCCCAAATACTGGAAAAATCCCAGTGAGTTCATCCCCGAGAGGTTTCTCGATAACCCTATCGAATATAAGGGTCAGCATTTTGAGCTATTGCCGTTTGGATCCGGTCGTAGGATCTGTCCTGGAATGACCACGGGGATCACCATCGTCGAGCTCGGCCTTCTTAACCTTCTTTACTTCTTCGATTGGAGTTTGCCCAATGGAATGACCACTGCTGACATTGACATGGAAGAAGATGGAGGTTTCGCTATGGCCAAGAAAGTCCCTCTTGTGCTCATACCAACTTCTCATCGCTGGTGAAAAATGTAAAAGTTTAACTGAGATCAAGATTTCTATATATTTGTGTACTTTAGTATCGGTTTTTGTTTTTCTTTTGTTCTTTGTTTTACGTTTATCATGTCTAGTAATCGGTATATTTCAATTCATGTTTGAAATTATATGTTTCAGTAGTGTCTTCAATAAAACTTGTGTTAATCTAAGTTATCTAATAATAATTAGTTGTATATATCAATTTTTCTTAGGTCTCTTAATTAAAAATTCGTACGTTTTATCATACCAAAAAAAAAAATCCGTACATTTTAATTTGACATAATATTAAGGTAATTTCTTCAAGCAAGATTCAAGGAAGAGGAAAAAAAAAAAGCCTTAGTTTTAGTATAACAACTTAATCACAACTCAGAGGTTATATAATCATTGGTTTTCATAGTATAAATTCATCTTTTAGTCCAACGAAAAAAAATTCATCTTTTAGTTACTTGTAGAAGACCAGAAACTAAGGACTCAAAATTTTTCTAATACTCTCAAGATTGAACCGAATTATTAATTTGTTAACTACAGGACCCAAAACGTTTCTAGTAGATTTGTTAGAGATTAAATTTTGGGAGTTGTATTGCTACTTTTTTTAATTTGATGCCCATTTATGTCAATTACCCTAAATTTAACAAGTTAGCTAATCCGTGTCAAGATTTTATGTAGGCCTAG